CTACTGAGCCCCGATGGAACCCTAGCACCTGAATTACGCTCCACAGATTTCACTGACTCTCTAAAAGATGCCGAGTTGGGAGACACCTCGAGGAGCAAGGACCTAGGGGAGTCTCTGGCCGATAGCGATCCGTTCATGTACGGAGATTCACCGAGCAGTCCATGTAGCATCGATCCCAGCGCGGTTTCACCGCCGCTCACCAAGTACCGTCAAGTGAGCCGATTTTCTCGATTCCTTCAGACACTCGCAGACATTACACAAATATTCTCAGATCTTCTCAAATATACTATGAATATTCCCAAATATTTTCAACCATTTGCAAATATTTCCAAGTATTCGTAAATATTTTCAAGTATTTCCAAGTATTCCCGTACAACGTTTCCAAGTGTTTCCAAGGGTTGCCAAATATTTCCAAGTACTTCTAAATATCGTAATTGTAGTAAAAAATTGCTTAATCCCGTTGTGTATAATATTTCAGAGTCCAGAACGAAGTATAGATTCGTTGGGTAGCCCGACAGGGGGTAGCGGTGCGGACGGTTTATCGGAGGACGAGATGTTAATGTTAGGCCTGAACGATAGTATAGGCGACGACGAGTTGGAATTTAGAGCACCTTATATCCCAATGTCGGATCAGGATGAGGCTCTGGATTTGCTTATAAGCAATGATATGGTTATGTGGAGTCCGCCACAGACGACAGATCACAAAAGTTGTCTAAAATGGTACGAAATGACGGGACGAAAATTATAATTACGAGAACCAGGACGAGAACCGTGAATCTTTATGTATTGTTTACAGGACGTTAACGGAAAAGGAGCAACGAACGACAGATTCTAGTTTAGCGCAATTATTGAAAATGGATCAGGTCGTCTCCAGAAAATACAACGACCATGGAGGAGGTTTGGTGAATCCAGTACAAGTTCTCGGTCAGATCCCTAGGAAGAGTAAGTCCCTTCTTCTATCTACTAGTACAACTCTACCAATAACAAGTATGAAACTATTAAGTGTTTTCTATCTGGATGACTTAAGGCTTCGTCGAGAGATTGATTATTATTATCCTGTCTCAGATATAAATCTAGATAACTGCCATTGGTCCTCCAAAATGGACAGACCAACGAAGCGTATTCACACTGCCTCCGTAGACGCAGGGAACGACAATAAGCGCATCAGATGTGACGAATCCGCGAAATGTAGCGATCACCTTAGTCTAGAGGATCACCTGTTAACAAAGCAGCAGCCGTCTTCGAGAAAATCGTCGAACTTGGGCAACAGTCAACTGTTGCGTCGCCTGGTGTCTCAACAGAACGTTCTGCGGAATAATTTCGCGAACGAATCGTACGACAGTACGGTAAAAGGTCGACAGAGCGTTAATCGATTAGAAGGGAATCTGAATGCGGAGGATGGCGAAGGAGACAGTGGTGGCGGAGGTGGAGTTAACGATGGCGGAGGAAGAAAAGTCGAAACGAACGAAGGAAGGTGTCGTCGAAGCGGCGTAGAAAACGGCGACGCGATCAGTCAGGTCTCTCAGCGGAATCCGGCGTGCAACAGCGTGCTAATGAATCTCCTGGTATCCGGCTGCGACGTGAGTGCGGGATACGTTTGTTTCGCGAAACCGAAGTCCTCCAAAAGCATAGCGAGCACGTGAAGCAGGCGACTGTTCGAACTCGCGATCGTTTTACGATATGTCTTCTGCCTGGAACGTTGGGTCTTTCATAGGTCGTGAGCCGCGTTCTCAGCGTCTCAGCTATCATTGCCGAGTTAGTTCCAGTACACGAACATCAACGAAACATCGCGTCGCGATGGGTCGACCGTCCACCGATCTTACGAACGCTCCCTACGTTTGATCGTCGATCGATTCTTTTTATCTTTCTTTTTTTTTTTTTTTTTTTAACTCTCGACAGCGTTTCGCGACAGTCTGAGACAGTTAGACGCGATATTTTCCGAGGCTGAGCCGATCAACCGATAAAGGATTAACGCGAAGAGTTAGTTGACAGTTCACCAGACGATGCTTCCGAATTTCGTGTAATTTTTCCCGCGATGCGGACAACGATGGATTTACAAGTTTCCTAGGAAAGTTACTATCGCGATACTCGATTCGGTACTCGCAAATATGATCGCCGAGAGAGTGAGAGAGAGAGAGAAAGGCAGAAAGGAAGATCGAGTGAACGAGGGGTCTTAAGAGAGAAAGATAAAGAGGGAGAATATTTAGAGAGTCGAGATGACGAAAGTACAAAATATTCAGGACGATGTTGATAGAGTACAGAGCACGCGCGCGTCTCCCGTGTCTTCGAAGGATACACGGGGGATCTGTTAGGCGAGACGAGAGATGTAACTTCGCTCGGCCGTAGTTCGTTTAACCGTGTCGCTGTTTAACGTCACGTTATGTATTCTACTTCAAAGTATATAAAATTGTTGATTGAAGATTGTCCAAATACATTGAACATTGAACATCGAATCATCTGAACTGCTGCGTTTCGTTTCCTCCTTTCTCATCCTTCCGCTCCAATCGCCTTCCATCGTAGTCTTGATATTAATGCTACGTCCACGTGCTGAGTATACCAAGCGACGTTTCAACGAACGATGCTTTTGCTTTTAAACGATGTATCATGAACAACATCGAAGAAACAATCGATCATTACCGATAATGCTGATTATTCAACCTTTTTTTACATCTGTCGGTAGTGACGAGATTATTTTCAAAGATATTGCATCGATTGCTTTGCGTAATTTGAAAATGCGAATAACGTTTAACATACATGATAAAATATGATTTCGTCGCGTATGAAATTTTTCTTGGAATTTATGACAAAAATTTATGCGTTTCACATTTCATTTATCAATATATCAATCATCGTTTTTACAATTTAAAAAAGATGCCAGTCGATTAGAAATGTGTTGTTTAGATCAGGATCTGTACCAAAGCTGACGAATCTGTATGTATTTTAAAACTTTGAAACGATCGTGTGAATGCAAGTACAGAAGTAACATTTTCTATTTGACTTCTTTCGTAGTTAGAAATGTTTCCCAATTTCCTAGTCTTTCATACGAAACGCAGCAACACGCTTTCGAGACCGTGACGCGTTGAAAAACATACAACATTGCGAAGACATGCTCATATTTGGAGGGCTGAGGTTTATTTTCAGAATAAATAAAAAGAGAATATTTGACGTTGAATCAGTAAGATGGAGTCAGGACTCGCGTTGATTCATATGTTAGCCTCATATCTTTATTCTGAATAAACTGCGAATTTTTACCCAAATTTATATTTTTAAGAACACGATATAATCTTCGCTATATATAGTTTATTACGTGCATTTTTCCGTCTTTGAAATCGTTCTTAAGTGCATAAAAGCCCGCACTTTGTCCATTAATATTTATCGTTTAATTACAAAATTTTAGTTAAAAGACATTAAAAATAAACTGCAGTAATTGCATTATTTCTTATCTCAAAGTTTCCGTTCCTTATAAAAGTATATAATTATAGCTATCTGGTTAGTATACTGACTTCATCCTATCAGTTACGTAACGTGTTACAGTATATTACCCTCGCGGAGGGTTGATTAAAATATCAAGAGTCACGCGATATTTAACCACACACCCATCATACTTTAGAAATCTGTGAACGAAGCATAATGATTGGTATAAATTATTTAGGAAAACCTAATGGACTCGCGGAACGTGCCGTCCATATACCCTAAAAGCCTGATGTCTCCACTGTCCGTGAACCTGGAGAACCACCAAATGGTGCCTCAATGTCCGGATTCCAGAGGGTCTAGCGTATCCTTCGACCAGCTGAGCCCCGCTGCGAGAAAGCAACTATCCAACAATACATTTATAACTGGAGGAGGATCGATCGAGTCGTCGCCATCCTCACCGATGATGCCATTCGATAATTTTGATTATGATACGAGTATGTCGGCTAGTGGTTTGCTTCAAGTGGAACCGGACCTATTTGGAAGTCTACTGAATCGGAATCTCGTTTAAGCAGTCGTGTTTAATCCGAATACAAGCCGACTCCGCAATCGAGTTGATCGGATTTCGTGGGGATTAAAAAGGAGAGGATTAAAAAAAAAAGAAGAAGAAGAAATGCAGTATCTAGAGCGAGATAATGGAAGATCAGTTTGTTACGGGGCAATGAAATGCTAAAGCGACGCAGTTGCAGATGATTCAGGGTGTTTATCTTGCACGATTTGATAGCGCGTATCGTGCAAATATATCAATATTTTTTCATTGGTAATTGTGCTATGTATAACGTGCCGTATGGATTCGTGATGATAGTTTTTCTCATACGAAAGTGCCAATGCATTTTTAGGACGTTAGCCGTTAAGTCTTGTAGTATAAAGGATAATGAGAGAACAGATCTACCTGTATGGTATAATATTGTTTCACGAATAAATCGAACCGGGATTCGGTTCGACTATAATAGAGCATAATTCTCTCTATATACGATGATTTTACCTCATTCAGACAAATATATTCGAGTCCACGAGTTTCGCTGTTCATTGATTTGAATTGTTGATAATTTGACGATGCATAGAAATTCGAGGCAAAAGAGAAAGCGACGGAGGACATTGTTAATTGAGAGAAAAAATATATGATATATATACGATAAATAAGATGAGGATGTGTGAATGTGGAACACATGCGGCACTCGTTTTCTATATTATAGCCGATTGATACGGCATTTATGGCGAGCTGATAGCGTTTATCGCGATCCTTGCCGTCGTTGTTACTGTTTTTTATAGTTTTTAACGAGGCCAACCCGAGAATCAGTTGTTATTACCATATTATCGTATTATCGTTCTGTGCACATGTATTAAGGAATATTATAAATTCTAAGATAGCATACATATATATATATATATGTATATTTTTACTTATTCACTTATTGATTACAATCACTATAGTAATATCTAATTTTATTACTTTACTATCATCTCTGTATTTTTATTACCGTAACATCTATGGTTATTACTAATAATCCTATCTATATTACAGTGTTGATATAGATCAATATTATCATGAGAAAAAAAAGTGTTATAAGTAAATAAATAAATAATCTTTCTAATATTTCACTATTTGTCTTATCTAACGTTGACTAATTCTAATACTCGAAAAAACAAAATGATTCGTTGTCTAAAATATTTGAGCCTTTATAAGCCTCGTTTAAGCCTTTATAACTATTATAGGCGAAGTCTCATCCCATACGACCTTTGGTTTAGTATTATCGTTCTGTAATAATACCGTCGTAATATCGTTAGTTGCGACAGCTGCAAACAATGATTTTTCTACTCTTCGTCCGATTTAATTCCACTTGTTCAATTTCATTAGTTCCTTAATTTAAGAAAGATGCGCTGCTATGAATTTTCATGATAGCTTGCAACAGATAAAATGATGTGACGTGTGTCAAATTTTTAATCGAATATATCTTGAAATTATTAACAATCTATATGAAACTTGCAGTGCAAAGATAGCACCGAAAGAAATAGCATTATCGCATGGCACTTCAGGTTTCAATATCTTGGCAATAAAGCTATTTTGTATTGTAACCCTTTAGAGGAGATAATTAGGGAAATCACACAAAACTATTTACGATGACTGGCCCTTGGATACCAATGAAGATTATCCATCACAAAGCGAACGATACATGGGCTTAGTAAATGCCGTTTATTGCTGGCCCTCCGTGAAAGTACTCTACTGTATTGTTTTCTCCATGAACCTGGCTGGCCTTTTAGCCGTCATTCTGGCCATTTTCTGGGCCGTACGATTCGAAAGAGGCTTTGCCGATTACCTGAATCTTATCACCCCTGGTTAGTCCACGTACGAAAACCATTTACAACAATCGATAACAGTCGTTTGTGGAAGAACTGCCTTTAATTCTGATTCGTTTCATCCTCTGATTTCCGGAGGTTTTCTGATTGTATTTCGTAGCAGTTTTCTAAAATACGGCCTTAAGTCTATCGAATCTTTTTCCAATTTAATCAGGTATCGAGCGTTTATCTATGGAATTAGTGATCGTATTAATGATACACAGAATTTCATTTATCTGAACTCATCGTGATAAACACGTAATTGAAGTATATTAATTCTTCCTACTATCTATTATTTTTCGTTCACACAGCCAGAGTTGATGTCCAGATAAGAAGATTTAATCAGCTGGGCTTCGGTTGAACAGAAATTAACTGAAACATAATTTAGATAAATGGAGTTCTACTGTACACTGAAATGTACTCTATCGTCAATAAATCAGGGAAGATTTAGCATATTTGGGATAGCCATAATTGCAAAATCGTGGATATCGTAATTGCAAAATAAACTTGTTAACGGCGTCTAGGTCATACTATTTATATTTCACAGATATTATCACGTATATTAATTACAGATCTGTTTTATTAGAAATAGTGTTTCAAAACGGGCGATTTTCTCGTCACTTATGAACGCTAGTGTATATATTGATACTGCTGCAATTTTGATATTACCATTATTTCAACATATAAAACGACTCTGAACGTTCGGAGAATTATGCATGAAATATCGCAACAAGAATAACTCGTGAAACTAAAATAACTTATTAAGAATGGAAAATGACATTTTGCAGCAGAGTCACATAATAATATTTCACTATCGTCAGGCACGACTAGCGCTAAAAAATTCTCCCATTTCTCGGTGATGGTCATACGACGAATTTTTTAGAATTCGCTTTTTTTTTATTGTGTGGGTTAACGAGCGGATCACGACGAGCAGGTGACGGTCACGTGTGGACCGCGATCATCGTGTCTGCTGGCGTTTGCTGTTCCCCTGCCTATATCCTGGGAATTAAGTGCTGGCTCTACCTGAAACTAGAACCAGCTAGAAACGATTTAGAGGATCAACACAAAGTAGACGACAACGTAGATCCTCACGATGTGAATCGGCTTCTATTCTTCCACGTGATTGCCTGCCTGCTGTCAGGATTCTTGGTAGCTATTCTAAATGCCACTTACTTGATTCTGTTGAGCGGATTTCAGCAAAAAAGCCGCGATGGCTTGATAGAAGCCATGGAGAAATATGGAATTGACGTCGCTGTGAAGGCGAGGGTGGACGCTCTTCAAACCGAACTCGAATGTTGCGGGGATAATAGTTACGAAGATTGGTTTCGAGTTCCGTGGCTGAAACTGTCGATGGAGGGACCCGAGGATATGGAGAACGGTCCTCGACTGGAAGGGCAGTGGGTATAATCGAACCAATTACCATTTATTATTGTTAATAACAAGAATTAAATGGTTAGTGACCATCGTGCACGCTAGTGTAGAAAAGGAAACAAAGTGTTAGCAATAAATGTGAAAAATGGTTAAAAGGATAATCGAGGAACTTTCTGAGAAAATGAACTACGAAACTACATCGTGAATTGAGGAAATTGCACTTTAATACTAGTTTCTAAATAGCAACTACGTTTAATTATCGATAATTATAGTGGTCTTGAAGAATTTTTTCTTGCTTTATATTTACAGAATAAATACGAACATAGCGCTTCACTCGGCACCTATAAATGTGTTTACCATGTGGCTCCTAAATATTTTTTCAGAATGTTCCTTAAAATATGATGATTGTCGAACGATTTTAGGAGAACGTAGATAATCCCGTTTAATCTCACCTTTACCCATTTACTTTTGTCTGTTTTAAAAGGAGGTATTAGCATTTTTAGTAAGTTCTCTTAATCTATCTTAATGCTTGAATGCATTGATTGTGTGATAAAGATCAGTACCAGAAGAGCGAGAAGAAGAAGCTTCCACGCCCGTGGATGTACCTTTCTCCTGTTGTTCCAATGACATTCCGAAACCTTGTGTTCATCACGATATTCTCAGCCCCAGTGCCGTCTACAACTACGATCCTAAACATTTAACCATCTCCACTAATGGGTGCAGATCGAAGATTATAAGTCGAGGTGAAGTTATCAAAACGTACTTGACAGGATATCTTGCTCTTTTATCCCTATATCAGGTACGTGTAAAAAGAATAAAATTAGCAATTCATATAAAAACACGGTGAAAAGTCTTTCGAGAATAAAGTTCATTTTTGGTTTTCAGGTAATTTTGTCGTACGTGTCTCGATTATTGCAAACAGCCTATAGCAACGAGCTGTACATAGGACCTCAGAAGACTCGTTACCACGTCTGGATATTCTTCAAGCCGGAAGATTTACCTGGAAACGAGCGAAGAAGCGAGCGAATGCGTCCTCAGAGAAAACGATCGAAACTAAAGTTAGCCTCTACGTTCTCGAAAAGTTGGGACGAGGAGGAAACGAGTTCTCAGCGTCGTAAAAACAGGAAGGGAAGCATGAAAGTTTTAACGAAGATTCGTTCGAAAATCTCCTCCGTTAAATCGAAAAGCCTACCTGCTATTAGACCTACTTTCTTTTCTAACAATTCTCGAGGAAAGAAACGAAGCGCGCAACGGTCGAGAGAGATCGGCGAGGAAGAAGACGAGCAACCGGAAGAAGAAACGAGACTTCTGTCAGAACATAAAACGAGATCTGAGATTGTTATGAAAAAAGATCATCTCTCTGTTTTTTCATTATTATCGGACGATTCCTCGACGAACTTACCGC